GCCACCCGAAGGAAGCACGAAGATTGAGATACTGCCCGGTCGCCCAAGCCTAGTAGTCCAGAAACAAAGTTCGTGTTCGAATCACGGACCCTCCGGTCAATAGGTTTGCGCCTTGACCACTGAGCCATCTTGAGCACTTCTGACAGCTATGAACATCGTGCGTTGTTACAGGGTAACGGACAAGCGGGATAGGTAAAAGAAAGAATTGGCAGTGAGCCCCGATCGCTTCGAAAAAAATAACAGACTAACCCGTAGCATGATGCGATCAGTGTCCGATGGAGACCCGGCACACACCACACCGATTTCGCGCATCCGATAGACGGGAGAACGACTGTCCGGAGTGACGAGGGCAAAATCGAAGGTGGTGCCACGTTTGCGTGATTCCGGATTGACCTGTTTCACCAGGGAAGCTAATTCGCGTAATGTGGCGTCCAACCTGCATTTGATAGGGTAGTGATAAAAACAAGCAGAGAACTGTAAGGCGCGCATCATAAAAGAGAATATTAAGCTGACCAGCAGACTTATTTCCGCCGATAAAAAGCCAAGCCCCCCAGCAAGGGCGTGTATGTCATTGAGACACTCAAAATCCAAGGTACTTTCTAAAATCAGTCAGGGATTTTCCGTATGAAGTCACTGCTGTGCCACTTCAAAAATCCGAAAATCCGGTGTTCCGTCGAAACGCGGCAGTTCTCGAACATTCCCACGAGTCTATAAACGAGATCAGCTGAATGAATCAAGGCCATCGTGGAAATAACTGTTAAAGATCGACCGAGAGACGGTAGGTGGTTTTCGGCTACTTGCATGCATTGTGAATCTAACCACCGATGAACGGCCTCGTCCACTGTGCGGACGGCAACAAGATCGATGGGCCTGCGAGCGCCACCAATCAGCTCGTCATCTTCATCAAAGACAGCAACATCAGTGTTGGCACTGATGCTTCACTACCGTGCCACCAAACCTAGTTGATACCGTTATAAGTGCACAAACACAACACATTTTAACGCGTGCACTGAAGACGTTTGTCATATGTTGTTCTTTGAGTTGTTCAAGTTGGGGCAAGACGCCTCAAGTGGTTAGAGTACACGAATTTACTGAGCGGAAGATCTGTGGTTCGAACACGACCTCTGCCACTCGACTTCCGCTGTCTAGGATTGGGCAACCCGGCAGTATCCCAGCCCTCGTGCAACCTTCGGGTAGCATAGCAGTTAGGCACCGAAAGGGTGTTACAGTTGAGCGTTTTCTTGATGAAGTGTCATCACGTGCAAGTGATTTCCCCACAAATAGGAAGGAGACTTTTTGGACTAATGGCACTTTCCCCAGGGAGTTGGTTTTAGAGTCGAAAAGCACTGTTTTCATAGCCTGAATCAAGAGTATCGGAAAGCAGTAGACAACCATAGCGCACCATAACAGTCAGTTGGCAGTATAATGAGACTTAGGAACTTTCCAAATAAGTGAGGTCAATGTGTGTCGAAAAAAACGCGGAGCATTGTAAAGCTGTTTCACCATTCTTGGTGATCATCGGCAGTACGTATATCACGAAACTCAAGGGTGGTAGTTGAAGACTAGATTGTCCGGCCACGAGCGGCCGATCAGCAGTGAGAGTCACTTGAAATTTCAGCAAGATATAGAATCACCCGTTCTTCAACAGTGGAATCCACATTACGTGGTCGAATGCACTCGGGCTTCTCTCGGGGGAGGACTTCTGGGCTGGGAGCTCAACCGGTCGCGTGAAGTAGTCACCCTTCTGAGCTACTTATTGTTTGTCGGTAGTATGAAATTTGAAAATTTTCAGTTGGACGCTAGAATAGATTTGGGTTCGCCAAACGGGACGAATTATGACAAGAAAACAGCACAGAAGGGTGTCCGGGGGCCAGTCGTCCCTAATAACCGAACATCACATCATTTGGACGGATGTATCGCGTGCAGGACACGGACCAAACGAAGGCACGCCCTGATTGGTCAGAATGCCAGCCAATCCGAATCGAGCATCTTTGACTGGACGCTTCTCGTACCCTCATGGAGATTCTAACACGACCTTGTGGAACATCCCGTGATTACCCTATAAATATAGTTGTAGTAATTTTCCTTCGTCTCCATAAGGGGCTGCGTAGAGCTGCTGTGCCTTTTGATATACCATAGTGGGCGAAGCAGTAAGCTAAGGGACCGTTAGAGAGTTGCACTACCGTTCAGCAAGACCCAGGAAAGGGGCAGCAATACAATTTAGTAGATTTGCGAAATGGCACGAATCCCACCCATATGACAAGTCCCATTCTGTTTCCTTCTTTCGTATGAGTACAACACTCTTTTCTGATCAGCTTGCTCCAATTGCTTGCTCATCAGCCCTGAGATTTTGAGCCGGGCGGTACTTTGGCACCGTTAACAGCAGTGGTTTGGCCCCGTCCAGTTTAGTTCGCTATCGAATGGGACGACTCAGCTGTCGACTTGACCGTGCTTGTTTGTTGCTCGGTTCGCCGAGCTTGGCAGCTGGATTGCAAACTATCAGGAACACCTGGGCTACCACAACATCGCTGTCGGACGGTGAGTCAGCTGACAATGACGGAAAGTCTGTGCCTTGTGATTGTCAAGGTCTCATAAAACAAGCGGTCAAACTGTGTAGAGGAGCAGACCAGCATTTTATCGATCAGAGACATCAAAGAACTTGCTTACGATAAGGCGGATCAATAAATAATAATAGTAAACGCTCAGCTGTAACGCCCTTTCGGCGCCTAGGTGCCATGCTCAAGCCTAGATAAGAGCAATCGAGAGGCAGAGTTTGGGTTCGAACCAAGGGCTTTCCAGTCGGGAAATTTGTTCTCTAACCACTGACCTAAGCCTACAAGTGAGTCAATTTAGATGGAATTATCAGACTCCTGATAACTTATAGCTACGAAAATCAAGCGAGTCAGAGACACAGAAAATACGAAAATAAAATGGCTAATTAGTCGCTCAGACAATAAGTTTGGCCCTAACAATAAGGTCGTATTCCATGAAGAACGAGTCCTAGCTGAGATCAAGAAGTTAAATGAATCCCATTCGACAGTGCGTTCGTTACTCTGGGTAGCTTGCATGCGAGTCACTAACCAAGGAGTTAAGGTCCAAGCAAACCGACACTATAGGCGTTTCTGTCCGAACCCTCAAACTTTGAAATGGTGAACTGACACCTGGAAGATTGTCTCATTACTGAAAGGACTCAGGATCAGTCAGCCGATGGGTTTGAAGACGGTTACCTAGAGGTCAGGTATCCCGGGTGACTTCCAGGAAATGAGTAAAAAGTGGTGGTTTTGATTTCCCCAGGAAAAGAGAGACAAGTGAGGCGCGTGCGTAAACTTACCAGGTATAAACTTGAAGTTCATTGTTCGGGGTGCGGCCACGTGAATATTCCAAGGCATTATTGTGTTTCACGGAACTGTAGAACATTCTAAGGAGGAGCGGACAAGTTTTTTCCCGATTTACTGCCCCATCATCTATGGCGGCTGTCATTGCGAAGAATCAGGAGGCGAATAGTGTGTTCGGTCGGGGTCCAGTCAACTAAACGAGACAGAAGAGAGAGGTGGATTAATAAAAGTCGTTCAGTTGTAGCACCCTTTCGGTGCCTAGCTGCCATGCCACACAAAGGAGGTACGAGGGCTGGTATACTGTCAGGTTGCCCAAGCCTAGACAGCGGAAGTCGAGAGGCAGAGGTCGGGTTCGAACCACGGACCTTCCGGACGGTAAATTCGCGCTCCAACCACTTGGTCCATCTCGCCCCCGGTGGTCGAGGGTTATATATACATTTTGGCGAGCAGCGATACCATCAGCGGCCGTCAATTTTCCCTCCAAAACAACAATCCTTCAAATGTAACACCCTTTCGGTACCTAGCTGCCACCCGATGAAAGCGCGAAGGCTGAGATACAGCCAGGTTGCCCAGGCCTAGAAACGAACAATCAAGATACCGCAATTGGGATCGGACAATGGACCCTGCGGTTAGTAAAGCTCGCTCCTTAATCGCTGAGCTATCTCTAACTCAGTTTCAACAGCGTCAACACTGATGCTCCCGCCTATGATGATGTGTGCTTAGTCAACCTTTGGGGGATGAGACGAGAGAGCATCTTCGGTGCTATAGATACCAGGCTAATGCTATGACGGTTTTCATACACTATTCGCGTCGACGTGTCTTCTCTTCGCTCCATATAAAAATCATATGGGTAACAGGGATTCTCAGCCTTCTTTAAGGAATCAATACAGACCGTCCGGCTCCTTTTCATTCGTCGTTTGACTGACAGCTACTCTCCCTTGGTGACAGAATACTTCCCCATCTCCTGGGCTTACTCTCCCTTGGTTAGTCAATCGTAATTAAAATAGGGTACTTTTTTCGGTGACAGAATACTTCCCCATCTCCTGGGCTTTCATTGTCTAACAAAGCTCCAAACGACACTAACACAGCTTCTTTGAAGAGCTGTCATACTCCATCCAGGTACTCATCACCAGCTGATTTACTGCAGAGAGTAGTTGAGCTAGCCTAGACTGGAACCACTAAGCTACCACAGTCCTACAAAAGTTATGGATCAGCATGCCTCGTTCTGACTCGTGAGGGCTTGGAGGAGAGCGAATTATCCGATGTACTTCCACTATGGCGTCATCGAAATCAACCTGTGCGCCCCAGAAGGAGATTAGGGGGAAAGTAGTCGACAACGTATGAAGCCAGCATAGAAAATTCATCTTGGACGAGACAAAGACGCAAGGATAGGGAGTATAAGAAACAAAAACGAACACTTAGTAGGGACTGATGAATGTGGCACCTTATCTGAAAGTATGTGAGGACTTAACCTCGATTAAGGAATGAGTGTTCTCTTCTACTAAGTGTTCTGCTGCACATGGGGTATTACTGTCCCCAGCGATAGAAGCGCGAAGGTAGCAAAGCATTTCTATAGTTATGGAAGAAACGATGTTGCTTTCCCCCGATGAAAGGTGACTTAGAAAAGGTCAGTCTTAGAATGTCACAGTCCAATCACTCAGCTGATAATCACGATGACCAGCGCGTCCATGCTCATTGGAAGTAGCACTCCACGAGAACGTCAGTGATTCATTGCCATACAACCATAAAAATTTATCTGAACGAGGCCGGGAGGCAAGAAGAGGGCCTAGGACTAGTCTATCACAAACATCCGAAGGGCATATACCTGGTTCTGGAGAGGAACCGGCAACACGAACACAACTACCATAGCCTAGCTGTCATATAGTTCAGTGTCTCCAGCCATGCAAAGGGAGGGTCAAGTGGATCCCATGCTGGAAGGCGAACGATACATCCTTCTTTCCATTCTGGCATGTCAGATTCTGCCCACCTCTAGGTCTCCGTCATTACGAAGGAGGAACGGAAAACAGCGCTTGTTTCGATATGCGTAACAATGGCCCAGCCACATTTGCTTTCGGTGTTGGATCCATTCGTTGAGGAAAATGCCTTCTTCTTCGCCAAAGGCGTAACTCCTAATCACCGCATTCTGAAATCACCAGTCTCTTCCCACTCCAGATGCAGTTCGGAGATATCGGTGGTCAAAGACCTGAAGATGTCTCATACGGTCTGCCTGAAGTGGCTGAGTTCCACAGCCGTAGAACAGTACAGTCTGTACTGTATGACGCACACGTTTTTGGGATTCAACGACATAACCTTTTTTATAGAGCAGCGCAAACTGCAGAGAGCGATCATGGCCTTTGGCATTGGGATGAGATGGCTCAGTGGTTAGAGCGCGAAACTATTGACCGGAAGGTCCGTGGTTCAAACCCGACTTCTGCTTCTTGACTTTTCCTGTCTACGCTTGGGCAACCTTGTAGTAGCCCAGTCCTCGTGCTTCCTTCTGCTGGCACGGCAGTTAGGCACCGAAAGGTGCACCGAAAAGGTGCTACAGCTGAGATTGGATGACCTGACATTCGTGCGTTGACTTCGTTTGTCACACTACCCTCAGGACAAATATAACTTTCTGTATATGTATAGTGCACCACAATCACCCGTGTAACTCCTTAAATTCTAAGGTATGTTAAGAGGCTGTACGTCCGGAAGCATGACTTGGCAGTTTGTGGGTGCGAAGGATTGGATGACCCTGGTCAGCTTTTCAATTAGTTTGGGCGTCCTTGTCCTTTTCGAAAATGAGAACAATATCGTCTGCATATTCCAAATCAAGAACACTGTCACCCGGAAAGATTCGAACACCAAGGTTTTAGAGACCTCCAGTGTTCACCTGGTTATCCCATCAATAACGAAAGTTAACAAAAAACGATAGAGAGAACACCTTTGTTGAACACTACCATTTATAGGAAAGCTTCCGGAGAGCTCCACATACGTCCTCACATTCCCGCGCGCATGTGAATACAAAGTGCACATCACATTCATTAACTTCTGGAGCACATCCCATTGTGCAAGCGCGTTGAAAAGAAAAAAGCTGATCGACAGATTCGAATGCACTCGTGAGGTAACAAGAATCAACATTATAGGGTGTTCATACGCATGTCATTGCTGTTAGACTCAGCGAGGTGCAAAGATGTTGTCCACAGAGCCCATTCCCGCTCGAAATACGGCTTGCTTGTTATCGGATCTCCTCTTAACGCGCTTCGTAATACGACGTAAAACAGCCGAATCAAGGAGCCTTTTTACGAGGGTCAAGTTTATTCCTCTGCGATTGCCACAATCACTGCAAGCCTCCTCCTTTAAATTGGGTATCATCACTGACTCGCCCTATTTGGTTGGGGCGGTCTGTTTCTTTCAGAGTTAGGCAAATAAGTTGGGCAAGCACCGATTGAGGACTTCGCCTGCCTCTTTGAACAGAGTGGATGGGAGTATATCAGGAACAGCAGCTTGGGGACGCTTGAGAGAGAAAAACATTTGCTTATTTCCAAGGCAGTTGGGGTTCGAAGTTCATTGTCCAGAGCTGCGCTGCCAGTTGGGAAACTTGCTGAGCAACTACAGATGACCAGTTGAAGTTGTCTCGAAAACGTTCATCCCACAGATCCATGGACTTTTCTTTTGTTTCAGATAAGCGAAATGTTGTTACCAGTGATTGTTCCGCTCACCAGAGGCACCTTTGGATCCGCGTATCGGCTGGGAGAGTTTAAGCACATTCCCAGAGTTTTTAGTCTCATCCACTCCAACTTTCTGGATCCATTAAGTTTGTAGATCCGTGTAAGTACAATTTTTCACCTGAGGTCTGAGGGTTCGTGTAGTAATGTTGTCTGTCGACTAGAGAAAATACGTGTCCACGATGCAGTGCATAGGTAAAGTTGATTAAAAGATTTTACGAGTGGAGCGTCCAGGATCTTACACGGCTGCGGACAAAATGGATATTGCCCGAAAAGGATTTCATAAAGTTGTTCTGGGAGACTTGCATCACATTATGATCTGAGCTTCTCAGTGGCCAAGCAAGGGGTGCGCAACTTACACACCCATAAAAAGCGCAACGAGAAGCAGCAGCGAAAAGGCGCCTCACCCGAATCCACATGCGAGTTCCAGAATGGGCGAGTCAGTAGAAGACCCGCGGCGTCTATAGGTAATGGCGACATAGTTAATCTATATTGTAAGTTGGTTTGAGAGCGGGGGCGCCACGTGGCCATAGTGTGAAGAAAAGAATAAAGGTGGATGGGGAAGGGACTTAGTGCTAGCTTACTACAATCATTTCGAGATACTATACCTACAGGTCTTCTTTCAGGCAATCTGAATAGAAACTGACAACAAGAACGCCATTGACATTGATTACCAGCCATATCTAGCAACGTCTCCAACCAGGCGCAGTGGGGATCAAGCGATCCCAAACCTGGTAGGGGAGTAGCATCGACAGAACCAAAACGCTTCGTAATCTCTTTCACGCCCTTCTGTCAGGTAAAGGGTTGGCCACCTCTCTGAATTGGGCACGGAACCGCACTCTCTTCGGCAAACGATGGTTCGGCATGCTCAGTACATGGCCTAACCAATACAGCTTTCGGTGCTGGATACACTTCTCAATGGGACTTCCCGTTGCACAACCGAAAACTCGCTTTCTAATTGTCTCGTTACGTATCCGCCGACATCAACTCACACGAGCTATGGTCCTAAGACAATGATTGTCGAACACCTGAAGACTTCTCGGTTCCACTGCTCGAACAGGACAAGTCTCACAGCCATACATCAAAACTGCCCGTACTGTAGGCTCATATATGCACGCCCCTTGACGCTCAGGGATTTACCATTTTGACGCATTAGGTGCTTCAAATTAGCAAACGAGCCTTTCAGATTCGCGCATTGATCTCATCTGTCAAACTACCATCAGAACTAGTACAACTTCAAAGGTACGTCAGACGCTCCACAACTACGAGTGTCTCTTCTTAGATTGTAAGTGGCGTATCTAGTAACAGCATGTCCAGGAGCATGACCTTACACTTTGTGGGTGCAAAGTGCATACCTAAGGACGGGATACGCCTTTCCTCCTCTTCGAAGCCGGGAACGATATCGTTTGCATATTCCAGATCGACAAGGTTTTCGTCAGTGGGGTTCTGAAGACCTTCCAGTATTCGTCTTATCTCATGGG